TGTAGGAGTAAGAATCAAGTTGAGGTCATCTAGACCAAGAATTAAAATATATTCATATACATGAATAAAACAGCAGTTTATAAATCTGGGTAACCATCAATTGTGGGCAGGAGGTGTGAGTTAACTAGTTATGTACTAGAAACAATAAAGCAAAAATAATATAATACTCATTTGTTAATGGAAAACTCCCAAGATGGAGCCTTATGAAACAACAATTATATATACAGCTGCATATTTTTTCTTTTAAACTATACTTCAAATAAGAATTGCATTTAAAAATACAAAAAATATAATCAACAACAAGGTATACTTTACCAAATTTAAAAATAAAATGTTACAGAGTCAGAGGACCCCTGAGGACTTGTCATATCCTATAACATGCTTTTTCTAATACCTTCACCCACAAGCAATCTCACTAGCTTGTGTGCCTATCTCCATGTTTCAAAATTTATAGAGATACCTCAGAACAACCTGCTTTTTTATATTTTATCATTTCTTGCTTTTAATAATTCCTGAGGTAAAAGTTCATAACATCTGGGTCTTTCTCAGTCGAACTGCCCAATTTCTACCATGACACACATAATTTTACGGGCTTTCACTGTCCATTCTGCATTAAAGGATGGGATATGATTTATAGCAAACAGGTCATCTCCTGGGAATAAAGTGGTCACTTACATTTGACCAAAAGTATTGAATGATTGTCATGTGATTACCTGGGCCCGTTTAGTTTATCTGTTTTTATAGAACTAATGATATGCTGAGTCAAATAATTTGGGTGTCAGAGGTTTAAGACAAAGTCAGAAAGAGCTGATTACATGGGGGAATTAAAGAATTTGATACAGTGCATTATTTCTTAGGCTGGAAACACAGAACAAAATGGCAAGAGAGTAACTTAATGATTATTTATTGAACATCTAACATACAATAGCAAAATAATGAGAGTAACTGGTCTCATTACTACATCAACAGAGGCAAGAAGCCTCTAAATAATATCTTACATTTATGTAGTATTGTAAGGTCTATAAAATACTTAGACTTTCTCAGTACATCTGAATTCATAGTGATTATTATTATATTATAAAACCCAAGTCTCAGATATAAATGACGGTGTACTAAACACAGTTGGTAAAAAAAAAAAAAAACCTCAATACAATACAAATTAGACAGACAAATATCCACTTTGCTTTATGTCAGGGACTCCAATTACTGAGGGAATCTGTTTGGTAGCATTAATGAAAAATTACGCATCTAAAACGTAAGTCTGCTGTAAACTGATAACCAGTGATAGAGAAATATTAGGTTAGTCAACCTTCACCTGTGTATTAAGCCAAATAAGGAGAGTCATCTAGATAGTTTTAGATAGAAGTCAGCGTTATCACAAGCATAGCAAGAGGATATAGGTTAATTCATGTGAAAGCTGAATAAAATGTTTATGAAACCTCTCTCAGTCACAGCTCTCTCTGTGAGCACTTTTGGTCATGAGCACTGGCCAGGCATAGGGACAGGCTGACTGCATAATACAAGGAAGGGGCGGGTTTATGCTTTTATGCATATATCTTTGTTTCTAGGAGCTTTGGTTTCCTTAAGTATAAACTATTAAAGTCTAAAAATTCATCTTTGAGAATTATTGTGAGAATTAAAATTATAAAGCTAATAGCAAATGTTTCTACACCAGGCACAGTTTTAAAAACCTATATATATGAAGCCTTTTAAAGGAGGAGGTAGCATCCCATCAGGGTACTCATTTTACAAATTTATGAATGTATGGTAGGCTCTCAAAGGTTGCACAGGGTCACGCAGTGGGCAGGTGGAAGCCCTGGCCCTGAAGCACGCGGTGTGGCTGAAGTCCTGCCTCTTCCTAGTTTACTTTTAACTGTCCTGTATTTCACATCCTTACTTCAGGATCTGCTCCCCCCACCACCTGCCTTCGCTGCCAGTGATTTGGGGGAAAAAAAAAGGACAACATGGAAATACTGGGGAGCTTGCTTAATTTTTCTTAAGTGCTTTGACTCAACGAGCATCATATAAAACAAAGTTAACTAATTAAAAATGAAAATTTTCAGTGTTGTGATACCTACTTAGCAAGAGCTTGCAGGTTTAGTAGGAGAGAGAAGAAATTTCCCAAGGCAACAGGCAGGTTTCTGGTCCTCTCTCTTGCCAGGAGAACCAGGATGCAAGGGTTTTGCCCTTAAATCAGGAAGGGCATGAAGCATCTGGGGCATTTATAAGACAGAAGGTTCTGGAGCCTCAGCACCCTCAAAGCCTCTACTCTCATGTGTATTCCCACACCCAGCCCTGAGAACCACAATTGTTTTTGGTTTACAGAACTCAGTCAAATTGTATTTACTCTGGGAACAGATGCAAATTATAAGGCAATTCTACAAGATAAAAGCTACTGCGTCCTGAAGATACTAATTCTTCCGGCAGTAAATACATGCATTAAGTATAAACAGAGGCATGGCACTGTTCATTCTGGCTTTAATCAAACGATAAAAATCCCTGGGCAAATTTAAGCTGTCTTGAAATTTCTTTCCAGATGAAAATAATAAATAACAAGGTCCTTTTCATTCTGAAGATGTCTGTTTCTTTCTGGATATACCACATCTCTTTTAGCAGTTGGTTTGGGTATGGGCGGTAATTGCATAAGGACTCCCCTACACCAGTTTATTCTGGCCCCCATTTGTGAGCAGTTTTGCAATGGGCTGTAGCGTGCATCAGAATCTCTGCAGCATCTGTGCAAATAGAGTCCTGGAACCCATGTCAGCTCTACTGATCCAGCACAGGAGCAGGAAGTTTGTGTACACTGAAAGCCTACTTCAGGTAATTGTGAAGGTCACTTGTTGATCATGGCCGTGACTTATTCATTAGCACCTAGGCGGAGAGCAGAGGCTAATTTATCAGGATAGAAGGGGTCAATATGTTTCCCCAAGTAAAAAGGCAGAATTTTGAACATTCAAGTGGTCATTTTTATAAAAGTTCAAAGGAGATTTTCAAACAGTTTGAATCATATGATCAGAGAAAAGTTTTCTCAAAATCTTAAGTTAGAAGGCAATAATTAATAGTGAGAAACTTCAGTGTATGTTAATTAAATGAACTCAGCAGGGCCACAAACACTATGAATGCTGGGTGCACTTATTTTGCAGACGAGGTAATTAAAACCTAAGATTGATATTGAGAAACATACGAAAGGTCCCAGGGATTATGTATGGTGGGGCTGGGATTTGGACGGAACCAGTCTGGTTCCAGATTCCACGCATGTGTCTAAATCTTGGCCAAATTCTGCTCCACACACCCACTGGCAGTGGTAGTCAGTTTATTCTCAGCAGGATAAGATGGGTCTCCCCACTGGAGAAATGAGGAATAGATGTCTTCGAGGCTAAAGGGCTGATTCATGTTGGCACAGTTAGTTACAGCGCTATTATTGCAACAGAACTTTTGACTGTTGCCAAAGTGTGTTAACTATTAGACTACATTAAAGATAAAATCCACTGTGTTCATAAAGTTAAAAACTAGTCAAATCTCTATGTCACATGAAAGATCTGATGTAGGGCCATAAAACCTTCTCAGTGAACAGACGCTTTAAATTTTTTTTTAAATCACACTTTTTTGTTTTCTAGAGCAATCTAAATAATAGTTGCTAATATTTCAATAGTAATTAAGAGATACTTCCCACTGCATCGATACCATAAAGTTACATTCCTAGGTAAGGCATTCAAGCACCATAAACATAGAAGACTGTAAGCAACTATGTTCTGTTATCAGTTCTTACATGATTACATATTATTTGGGTAGCATAAATCTCTCTCTTTAATATACCTAAAACATCCTCCCACCCAAAGATGTGCACAGTAATGGCCCTAAAAGATAGTTTATGTTATACTTATCAAGCACTATGCCTTTAAAGGGGTGAGAGTGCCTTAAGGATTTGGTTTGCTTGAATTACACTTTTGGATTATGATGTGGGAATGTGAGTGGTGGAAATTTTGGTCTTTGTCAGTGATACCAGGAATAGAAGAGACATTTGATAGAAATTTCAGGAAATAACACCAACAGTTCACAGGGAAACAAACGTGTATCAGCTAATATTTTATGTTAGAAACATAAAGATTTGCTACATCAAGCAAAATCCTATTTTTTGTATTCTTCTCCCCAAAGAAAACAGCTATAGAAGTGTAGGGTAGAAAGGGAAATACCTTTTCTTTGCCCATCATTAGGTTCATAGCTAAATCCTATAAAAAGTATAGATTAACAAGAGAGAACTGTAACAAATTTGAGTTTCACATGATGCAAGAGGCTTCAGGAAAGAAGATTCAAGTAATAAGAAAACTACATTTTTATGGACAGTCAGATGAAAATGTGACCAGGGCACAGAGGAGCATGATCCAAAGGCAATAAACTGGGAGAATCTGGTAAAGCCTGTTTGCTCAGAGTTGTCATAGCCTTTAAGCATAAGGCAGACAGCTATTTTGGAATGAGTGTCTTATCACCTGCTTTTAGGGTAAGGAGCAGGTCAGATAACACTTTCAAGGCCTTCTTCAGGAGAGGAGTGGGGATAAAACCAGAGAGTGAGCATCCTGTTTCCATAATTTTCTTAATTTCCTCCAATTCAAAATACCAGGAGGCCCAACTGCCATATTTTGGGATAGCAAGTTCTGGGACCCACCAGATGCAACCACAAAATTAGGTCCCTAGGAAGTTTACATGTTAGGGGACTAAAGAATAAAAGAGATAAAGGCACATAAACCAACATGAAAACAGGGAAAAATGCATTGACAGAAATTAAATAAAGGAGAGAGGAACAGAGTAGGAGGTTTAGCTGGGCTGCATCGGGTGGGAGAAAAGGAAGGTCGCTGTGCAGAGCTTTGTGGATGGCATGAAGGTGTTCCTCAAGTCTGTACTATTCATTCAGTCATCACGGAGGGAGGATGGCAACGTTCTACCACTGTTAAACCCAAAAGGGACAGCCAATCAATTAGTGGAATAAGAAGTCGCTCTTTTACCTCTATTTTCCCCTTTTCCTGCTGTTAGTGCCTGACTGAATAAGCCAGACCAGTCTTGTCCCTGCAGAGCAGAATTAAAAGCCTGTGAAACAAAAAGCCAGAAATGGCATCATGTTCAAGGGGCTACCTTAACAGTGCACCCCTCATTACAGGAACAACAGCTGGAAAGACCATTACTAGGCTTATTGCTGTTACTACCTAGAGGGAGACAAAGCAGAGCCCAGGCACCAAGCAAACACTGCAAGGCACACCCAGTGGGGAAGGTGAAGAGAACAGCCCTGCACTATCCACAGCGGGCTGTCAAACCCTGCTTCAAAGTATAAGTGCTCAGCCTTGCACTGCGGTTGGCAGCATGGGACAGGTGAATAGTACAGATGCCCCCGGACCCCCTGGAGGGGCCACTGACTGTAGCATTGGCTAGCAGGAGCCATGCTCATGTGGTCATCATCATTCGCTGTTTTATCAGCAAGACGTACAGAGGCCCTAAACATCTACATTCTGCAAAGACTTATGGAGTAAAAGAATTTTCATTGTTTAAGCAAAGAATCTTCTTAGTAAAAAGATTTCCAAGTGTCACCCACAACGTTCCAAATTAACAGATTAAAAATCTGAGAGCTGGCACATGTGTGCTGGCACATGACTATCATCCCAGCACTCTGGAAGGCCGAAGCAGAAGAATGTCAAATGCAAACCCAGTCTACGAAATCTAGTGACTCAGAAATATAGTATATCACAATGAAATGAAAAATAAAGGGAGATGCAGCTTTGGGTTCAATCTCCAGAATCCCCCAAATCCTGAGAATTCATTTTTTGCTCTTATCTAATACCAAAGTTAATTTAAAGAATCATAGGAGCCAGAGATTTAGCTCAGCAGCATAAGCGCTTGCCTGACAAGTGTGAGGTTGTGAGTTTGATCCCTGGTACCAGGAAAAAAAAAATCATAGTTTCGAAAATAGATTATATTATCTATTTGTCTATCTATCTATCTATCTATCTATCTATCTATCTGAATTTGGCCTATTTTTTTGGGTACCAGAAATCAAACCGAGGGCCCTGCTTGCCGGTCAGATGCTTATGCCCCTGGACTATATCCCCAGAACTATGAATTTGCCTTTACAAACAGTTTCCAAAACGTCATCATCTACATGTATATGTGTGATGGTTACCTTTATGTCATTATACACTAGAAAGGATTTAACAAGGCCCCAATAAAGCATACTGGATAAATTCCATAATCGAGTCAGAAACAAAAATTAAAAGATGCTCAAAACAACAGAAGCTGCCAATTTTAAAGAAAATAAACAACAAAATAAAAGATAGCTAATAGGAAGCAGAGAGATAGACTGTTCTCAAAGCGGGAAGGAGAGACGGGGATGGGGTCAGGGATGGGAAAGGATTGGGATGCATTAGGTACAAGGGCACCATGTGCACATGAGGGACGTGAGCATTCTACACTGCACAAGGGTTCTCATAAACTAAAATTTAAAAAATAAAGTAAAAAAGTCAGTGTAAGGTAAACATGAATAGTGGTGATAGAAACTGCACTCAGGAAACAAGTAAGCCCCATATGTTAACCATAAAACCCTTTCCATCATCACCAAAGCCAATCTAAACATTAAAAGTTTTGGCCAGATAATTGGAGTGAAAGATTCTATAATCATAATTTACAGCCCTGCTAGACCCAATGTTTATTTGTTTCTTTAAATGTGTCTTACACTATTACTTCAATTCAGAGATAACTTAAAATACAAATTTTTTCTTGTAAAGTACAATGCAATGAGTTTTAATATATACACAGTGTGGCACAACTATCACCACTATCTTCTTCCACACAATTTTTATCACTGTGAAGAAACAGTTCTTATTAGCAGTCACTTCCCAGGCCTTCTTCCCCCAGTAGTCTACTTTCTGCCTCTAGTCAAGCCTGCTTGCATAGCAAATATTTTAAATGTCCCTCTTTAGAATTTTGAGAGCATATAACCTATCCATTCGTATAAATTTCAGGCATGCTTCCTGTGTGTATGTTATCAATCTGTGTATTCAGCTTCATAAGGTTTGTGCATTCTCCCGTGTTACTATCTTGGTCTCTACGCCATCACTTTCAATGGCTGAAGGAATTTCATCAACTAGATATAGCAATAAAGCATCTAACTAATCTAGTGGGGTTGGAATTTGCATTTCAACACTGAGGTTTTACAATTCTGGTAACTAGGCATAAGCATGTGGGTTTTGTATTCCAAGAATCTATTTCCTAAAAAAGTATTATATCCTCTCACAGTATTTTTATATTTGAAAGAATACCAAGCCACTGTGGACAGTGGAATGGAGGAAAGCTGAGAAACCCCTCTGTCCAACTCACCACTGTTGTGTCTCAGCAATCAGGGAACCAGTCCTTTTCTATTACACAGAATATGGTAGTCCATTTGGTGGCAGTCCCTCTAAGACATTTGCTTCTCAAACATGCTTTGCACACATCCTACCCTGAGTCTCACAAGAACTGTGTTAAACATTGAAGCCACATACAAACTAAGATCAAAAAGGAATCCTGTGCATTTGGCATTGTCTGGTACCAAGCATACATACCCTGTCTATTCACAGTCTTAAAACCATAAAATGTTATTTCACTAAGTACCACATTAGCATCACAGTCCAACTTGCTCTTTTATTTCTAGCACTGAAATAAAAATTGCCTTTTTTTGATTTATGTGTAGGACCTAACTACTCTGGAATTTGCATTTGTATGAAAGGGGCTGAAACTCAGCTTCAGAATCAGCCAGAATTGTAGTCTTATTTTTACTACAGAGTCAGAGACTAGTTTGATAAATCCTCCTTTTTTCCTCTAGCACACTTAAAAACTCATTTTTTTAGTACCACTGATTCCATTAGGTTTGGATTTTGGTTATTAAATACTTAGTGAAGAAAAGAGTAACTGTAGGGGTGGAGAGAAGAACAGTGAGACACAAGGCAGCAAGGCAGGGAGGCAGATACCTCGGGCTCTCGCAGCCACCCAATATTCTGTCCCTGCCCTTAAGAGAACAAAGAATCTAAGTCAACTGTGAGAAGAACTGAAGATGTGTCAAAGACACCCTAAGCTTAACAAGGAACCAACACAGACTCACACAGAGCCAGTTTTGTGTCCTGGGCAGCACCTCCAGGAACTTCTTCAACTTCAGTTTGCGTTTTGGGACTTCTTGATCTAGTTTCCATTGTGTCATCTGCACAGTAATAATTTTACTACAAAAAGTCTATGTCTTGTAAACTAATGGGAAACATATTGTTTGGCATCATTTGTAATGCCAGGATTTATGGTTCTAGCACTGAGGGTCTATCTGACCTCAAAGCCAACATAATGAAACAGCGATGTGCTGCAAATGACTCACCGTGAGTTTTTATTAGTTCTCATAATTGCCCCTTATTAATTTGTATGCACATAATAAGCACTCACCTTCACAGTCTGTCCAGCTTCGGGGCCATCCTAGGAGAAAAAATAAAAAAAGCATGGCAGAGGTAAGACTAGAAAAGGGTATCTCTTGCTTATTCAGAAATATCCCCTATTAATAATTTAGATCCAACTTCATTGTGTGTTAATTTAAAGTATTCTCCTGGGGACCACTCATTTCCAATGTGTGGCACCAGACACTTCTGCATTTCCGCCTGAGAGTGAGAAGTTATGTATAAAAATGATCTAAATTATCCAGCAAGCCAACCCCCTTGCTACTTTTCATGCTCTTTGCTCTTAGCTATGGTTTTAATTGCATTAAAAGGCAGGCTGAAAATGTTTGGGGAGGTGAAGTATCACATCTTTTGGCTATCTTTAAATCAGACGTGGTGGTTTAATTAATGTCTGATTGCTGTAAGTCTCTACTCAGGAAATCTGCTGTAACCACCATCCCATTAAGCAAGAATATAGGGTATGACATGTGGGAAGAGTCCTCTCGAGTTATTCTGACCTTGGTGAGACAGTGGGAGTGTTCACTGTGGGTGGATCTTTTTCTAATCCTGTTTCCCTCCCCTCGCCTCTGAAGCCCAACCAAAACACTATTTTAGTTGAAAATGAATGGATTTGCCCTGTCATAAGACAGAGCAAAAGCAGATGCTTAGTTGGTTGGGGAAAGCAGAATAAGAAACATCTCTACATCCAAATCTTCCCAAGAATTCCCACTCTGTGACTTTGGTCCAATCTGCCTTCCTCTATGAGCCTGACCAATAGGGTGAGAACTCGTCTCCTGCTGTGGTGAGGCTTAAGCAGAACTGTGTACATCAGTGCTCTCCTCACTAGAAGGTCTAGCACATCAGTGGTCAGGAACCAAATTTATAGGTTGCAACTGATGCTAAAAAATGAAGATTTAACATCATAAGAAACTTAATAGGTTGCAAATGATACTAACATATAAATATATTCTAACAAGACGAAAAACTTAGAATGCATAGAATAGGTAAACATAGTTTCACTAAAGTCTGGTTGTTTTATCTGTGTAAGGGTATATGAGGGAAGGAATAAATATGATTGTCATATTACATATATATATATATATATATATATATATATATCTACACACACATATAACTGGGTTTTAGTAGAAGAAAGTTTGATAACACTATACTGTATATATTAAGGGATACTGAGTGTTATATACAAATCAGTTGTTCTATTCATGGAATTAACTTTCTAGGGAATCATGTTATATAAGTAGCACTGATGTTTTCATTACCCATGAATTTTCTTCTAGTATTTCATAAAACTCTGACGGAGGTTCTCATTCATTTGCCTTCATGAATTCTCTTGGGAAAGACAGACTGCATAGGAGCTTAACAAACCCATCTGGAACTAAACTATCTGCTTGAAAATGACTTAAAAGGTTTGACATACAACACATAAAAAGGGTCATTTGTTTTGTTTAGCTTTGTTTTAACCAGATGGGCCATTTTAGTCTGAGCCTTTAATGGCCTGAAGACATTGACTTTCTTTTGTAGTCTCTTGAAGGCTTAGGAGACAGCTGAAAGAAGAGGAAGGGTGGAAAACATTAGTTAAACCAAAGGACTGAGCACAAATCCTCACACCTAGGAACAACAAATTTCCTTCCAGAGGAAATACAATACAGAGTCATTGTATTTCAGAGCCTTACAAGTCTTATATGGCACTGATACTCCCATAACTTTCCCTAGAGGATCTGAAGAGGTTCATGGTAACTTACTCTTGATTTATTCAACTCCTAGCTGATGACAAATCAATAATCCCTGCTCCTAACCTGAAAAGTGTTAGCCCAAACTCTACCAAAGTTCTCTGGAGGTTGGGATTCTGGCTTCATTACAGGGGAGTGAGCCATACCCACTCACCCAAACTAGCTTTGAACCAACCCATGATCAATTGCTGTAGCTTGATTTAAAGACAGGGAAAAGGTGGTCCCCATGAGAGCAAGACTCAAGAGAGTCTGCATATGCCGCTTCCCTGAAGAGAATAAAGCAGGGCTCAGTCCACGCAGTAACCCAAATGAATTTGCCATGGAAGAAAAATGGCTTGTCCAGTCCCAGTTCCAGCGTTAGACCTAGAATGTCTTAGTACTCACTAAATGCAATGGCTAGATTCCCACTTGCTTTGTAAACAGTGCTGAAGACAGTTCCTCTGGGGCTGCTAGACAGTAGAACTCCCCTAGATAAGTAACATCTTTTTCTACTATGACGTAAATGCAGAAGTCACAGCTGTCTTCCTGATGAGTATCGGGCATACTGAACCTACAGCCAAGATTTAAGAAGGAAGAAAAATCATTCTGGCCATCTGCGCACTTACCTGCATGGAAAAGGTGAGAGAGGTCCCTTGGAAATGTCTCTCCACCACTGTCCCGACTCTCTGAGTCACCTGGAACAAATCAGCCACTTCTTCAGGACGCAGGTCACGAAAGCGTTCCACTGGCCGCAGAGGACACACAAGGACATCTGTAGGAGGACTGTTAAGGAACATTCTGCTTGCTTTGGGTGTCAGATGGTACCAAACTGAATTCCTTTTACCTGAGGCCTAAACTCTCAAACACTAAGGAATGAGGAAACGAGTATTTACCGTCAATGAACCCCAAGGAAACAGTTACACTCTGACAGAGAAGCTTGAGTAAGTGAAGAGCTTTCTTTTCAGGAAAGGAACATTAATGTACAGAGTGAACACAGTGTTTACTGAAATAATTATAGCAGGGGCCAGTGTCTACCTGACCATTCTCTCCTGACCCCATTCTAAATCTCTGTCCTCCCCGGGAGCCAGAGGTACTAAGCTGGAGAAGCACGTGGAATATCCAGGTTTTATCTAGGTGGAAATCATGACTAAAATTTTCATTTACTTTTTAGGAAAATAATAGAAATATATAGTGAGTATATGATAACAGTGGATTTTATGTTTAAAAGGAATACAGATGTTTTGAAAATGTTCACTGCAATTCATCTATAACAGATTTGCCATGTGCTTAAGCAATTTATGACAAGGGTTACAGATTCTGGCTAAAAATTCTGATTATTCAGAATCCAAGAAAACATTTGTAAGTAAATCTCACAGCAAAGAGGTATCTCTTTAAACAATGGAAAATGTCTTGAGGCATTTTATAAGCAGGTTAAGGCAACATACTTACAGTATCAGTCGGAGCAAACAATATCTATACAAAAAGAATATAAGTTTGGTCACTTATTTGTAGCAAATTAGTATGTAGTCACTGGTATGCCATAAATATCATTTCAGTTCCTTTTATATTTGAACTCATAGCATAAGTATATATACATGTATATATCTCCATGTATGTAAACTCACACTCCCCAATTTATGATGGGTTGCACACCAGTAAGTCAGGAATGCAAGCTGAAAGTATACAAGTCATGAATGCATTTCATAAACCTAAGTCACCAAAAGTCATGGATCAGCTCAGTCTGTCTTCAACATACCAAGAACATTCACATTAGTGAACAGTTGGACAAAATTATTCAGTACGGAACGTATTTTAAAATAAAAAGTTGAATATCTATCATAACTTTCTAAATACTCCACTGAAGCTGAAAAACAGGATGATTATGTGGGCACACATTTGAGTCTTTGTAAAGCTGAAAATCATGATGTCAAACCATCAGAGATTGTCTATGCTTATATACATTAAAACGGATTGTTTCTTTAGTTTTCAAATACTTGTGGGAGAAAAAGTACTGTTAACTATTCTATTTCTTTGTTTAATTTTTGCTCATTGTTTTAAGAAATCATGATCATCCCAGAGCTAAGCAGCAAAGGGGGCCCAATAAAACCACAACTCTGCAATCACTGGTCTCACTGAGTATCCAGCACTTCAACCCATCATGGTGGTGGTGGAACTCAGTGCCAAGGGGAAGTGCACTAAGCTCAGCTGGGCAAGCCTGACTGCCCTAACAGAGGTAGAAAAGAAAGGCAGGGAAACTGATTAATGTGGCTCATAATCAGGAAATTCACATTAACTGTAAACTAGGAAAAGAGACGTTTGTTTAATCTGAGTTTATTTTTCAAGAGAGGAGAAGGGAGGTCATCACCCACGGGGCATCTGATACTTAAAAAGATAATCATCCTTCTCCGACAGGGATGCTTTATTATCACGGGTCAATGAGCCAGTTAGAAATGAAGAATTTCCTTTCATTTCCTTTTAGAACATCACCAGCTGTTACTCCCTCTGAGTTGCTTTTTGTGTTAAAAGGGACCTTTCCCCACCTTCCTTTTCCCTGATGTAATTTATATGCCCTTTGGCCCTCACTTCACCAACATGGCAAGATTATGGCCATGCTAGCTTTCAATAATATCTCTATCTGCTGTACTACACAACTAGGTAGAGAAGGAAGGACATTTTGCTTAAAATTGTGTTCCTGTGACAGAGAATGAAATAGATCTGACTACAACAGAATTTAGCACAAATTTAATACTATTAATGATATCCAAAAAATCTTTGTTTTGATTTTAAAATTTTTTTAGTGTCTATCAACTTTGCTTGTCTTATGCTAAGGTCTGACTTGACTCAATGTTTGATGTGAGAAAAATTCCAAAGCTAGGTACTCCATTTTAATGATTCTAGATGACTTAATCATAACATCAAAAAACATATGGTATTGACAATACATAAACATATCACAATTATTTCTGTTCAACACAACTATAGGAGTTTCTGTCATTGCTTATTGAAAAAACCAAGCATACAATCAGTAAACATGTAAGAGGACCCAGACAGTATAAAAGAAATTATATTCTCAGAATAGTTGCATAAGCTTTAGAAGAGCACACAGCATTGGCTAAAGATGGTACGTCTCATTGCTACATGTCGTCCTGACAAACAATTGAGAAAAGTAAAGTAATTGTGAAGAAGAACAGATAGTTTTTATGATTGCATTACTACTGTTTATGTGCCTATTGTTCTAAGAGAATATCATAAATGAACAATAACTTAATTTGGAGGCTCTTAGGTCTAGTCAATTGCTAAATTCTGTATTATACATAGGCTATAAAAACTTACTTTCTCTTGGATTTGAACAACTCATTTTAGTCAGTTGACTTCATGCATTTTTGTTCCATATTTGTCATGTATAAAATCTATGAAAATCTATCACCAAGATAAGATCTGTTCTTTCCCTATAATCTGTATAGAGATCTACTTGGTAATAACATTTTTAAGGGAAGAGAAAGGAAGTAGTTAAAATTTCTGTCTTAACAGTTAATGATGAAGATTCCTTACAGTATAGGAAAATAAAAAAAGAATTCTTAGAGCAGCAGATGACATTTAAATTGGATTTACAAGTGGAAGAATAATTCAACCAGTAGGTTGAGTGACAAGCTACTGGTCCACCTATCCCCTACTAGACCTTCTTTTCAGGTCAGGGTTTGTATTGTGACTCAGGATGCCAAGATCAATAGGGACAGAGCTGGTGCCCCTAAAGAGTGCACACTGTAATGTCCCCCACCTGTTATGCTGTGACCAGATCATTACAACACTGACACCAGCACTCCTGACAGAAAATATCATAGAATGCTGTGCAAGCAGAGAGGAGGCCAGATCCACCTCTGTCCTAGGGTATTAGATAAACTTTTCATCTGGTTTTACATTTCCATTTTCTAAAATTAGAGCCCTTTCTCCAAATTTGGACCAAAGTCTGTCCTTGAAAATGACCTAGCAATTCAATAGTAATGCCAAAAAAAGTGGTCAGGCAATCCTCCCATCATCAAAATCAATGTTTCATTGATGTATGTGTTCTTATTCATTTACTGATAATGCTAAAATGGCATGTTTAATACCTTTCATGTCTCAGCCTCTACCTAGTTACGTATTAAAGAGATGCCCTGTATTCACAGTCTCTTTTCACAGAAAACAACCAGAAGATGCATGAAACATGAAGATCATGTATAAAACTGCCAGCAGCCTAAGAAACACTTAGTCTTGGGTGAAGAAAGTGGGTAAACCACACAACTCCACAGTGAGAGGCTTCTGCACTTCTTACTAAGTGTGCCCTCATCCCGGCGGAGCTCCAGGAATAAGAGAATTCCGCTTGCCAGGGGTCAAGCCAGAAGAAGTCAGGAGGGTTGCAAAGCCCATAGTCTGGCCCTTTTCCGATCTCAATTTGAGTTTCTTAGAGGTGACTTTCATGTTGCTCAGTTGCCGACTACTGCAGAAGATTAGGTAATGCAGTCCACAGCCATGGGCCAGGTTATCAGGTGCACTGACTCCCTCTGCTTGCTGGGCAGCATAACTATTGGGAATCATCAATTTTCTTACAACATAATTTATATCATGGCAGATGATAGGTAACTTGGCAATGCTCTGCTTCTCCATGACCACCGCCAGCCTAAAATGGATCCTCCTCTGTTCCTTAGTATACCTTAGTATACCTTAGTATACCTTAGTTACCTTAAAGTGGTCTTCCAGAGTGCCAAGGCCCATGCTATCCTCCTGCTGACACACAGCTCACTCAGAACACATTCAGTGGAAGAAAGAAAATCAATGGGATCTTTCTACCAGACAAACTGGCATGAGTGTTTATTTGCAGTTAGGACCACAAAAACCCTTTCCATCCTACACATCCCATTGCAGTGTGACTTCCTCCCTGCTCCTATAGATAGATGCAGTCTATTTCCCCTTCCCTTGAATCTGGGTTCTTCCCATACTTGGTTTGATGGAAGAACTGTCACTATGTACATTTGTATGGTGAAGCCTTACAAAACCTTGCAATGTATGAATTTACTCTTTCAGAACCTCTACATAGTACACTATGATAAAGTCCAACGTACTGGAGAATAAGAGAAATGTGGTAAAGAAAAAGGCTCATCAGCTGATGTCCAGTACCAATCGCTAGAGATTATCTCAGACCTTCTCCACCCAAGAGAGCCACTGACTGCCTTCAAATTCCTGTATCGGTTACATACCGCTACATGATAAATCTCCCCAAAGCACAGAGGCTTACAACAACATTGAGTTGTTTTCCTATCATTAAACCATAGATTATTTGCTTTTTCTCTGCATTTATGGGATTGCTTTCAGCTGGCAGTTAGGCTGGGGATGGGACTCAGTTGTTCCTTTGTGCCTTTCTTTTTTCTACCTCTTATTTCACAGCAATCCAGATGCACAGCTCTCCTGAGGCTCTCTTTCTTTCACATTTCTATGGGGAGAGGAAATCACAAGGCAACTCCAGTTTAGGTCGAAAACTAAATTTCCCATAAAAATGGGAAAAAGGTCACAGAGAACAGGGCTATGAACACTGGGAAATGTGATGCATATGAGGTAATTATTATAGAAATCTGACGCAGTTATTAATTATGAAAAAAGTTCTGGGAAACTTCTGTAAAAATATAAAAGTCTGTAAAAATGAGCAAGTGTCCAGGGTGTCCTAAATATTCTAACAAGTATATATAGCTATTGCCATTTTGAGTCAAAATGAACCTTAACTACGATCTACTCCAAAACTTTCACTATCAGATGAAAGAAATAATGTTAGAAACTCGTAAAGTCATATAGTTAATAGAATAACTGGGATTAAAACTCAAGCCATTCAACTCACCAAACCAGAGATCTCCTAAACAAACTGGTAGACACCAATAACAAACCACAGAATTCTTTTCTAGAGTCCCAGAGTCCTAAAGTCCTTGTCAGGAGTGGGCTCTGGAGAGTCACCACCAGTCAGAGTGGGTGTGTGACATGAGGTCCATGGGCCATTTCTGGGGCCTCTACCCTGCCTTCTGACCCCACAAAAAAAAAATTAAAAATGCCTTGTGGAAGTAGAACAAGTGAGAGACCTCAAAGAGAGGATCTCAGTGGAGCAAGTGTCTACAGTGCCAGAACTCTGGGACACTGAAGGCAGAAGGATCACGTTTGACTCCAGCCTGGGTAACTTAGTGACTCTCCAAGACCCAGCTTCAAATAAAAAAAGACGGCAGATGCAGGTCAGTGTGAAGGCCCTGGGTTTAATTCTCAGTACTGGCAAAAAAAGAGCAAGACCCTGCCCAGTGACTTCAAATTTTCATTACATTGCTATATTTTTATTCAAAATAAATTTGGTAAATTCAAAATTTGCTCATCAAAGATAATAACTGGTGACTTTTAAAATTTAAAAGCATATTCATAGCAAATATGAAATATTTAAATATAATCATGACAAGGAAGTGGATATGGGCAGATTCAGATGATTAATTAAATATGACAGTGGAGCGAAATTCTCAAAATTGCTCATACTTACCTCCATTTACTTTTCTATGTCTAATCTATTCTAGGGATTCAGAATGTAAAAGTCACTCAAATAAATCAAATTTTCAAAATATCATTGATGTTAATGAGGCCTATTATATGCATATGGAGTAAGGTAATATTAAATCACACAATGTAGAATTAGTCATTCTTCTGAACTAAGAAAAAAGAACCTGGATTCATTTCTACTGTAGATCTGCTTGTAGTTTAACAATAATCAAGAATTTTCTGGTTTCCATTACAGACTTATGCAGACTCAGTATACTTCCTTTTACTCTAACAAACATGGCTAGTCCTTGATAATTCTTAATGTAACTTCAAAACACAATAGAATACACTTTGAGCTACTTTTAAAGAGAAGACTCAGTTTATTTGATTTAAATAGCACGGCACAGTACAGCTTTTAATCAAAGTAGGTAACCTCTCAAAAAGTAACCTTCTCATAACATTGTAGGTACTTTAGTAAATGTTTGTATCAAAAAGCTAGAACTATTATTCCCAAAATTTAAAAAAATACATTTCTGAAGAAGCATGTCACCAGTTTGGGTCACATGTTTCTTCACTGGATATTAACATCTCCACTTCTGTAACCTAACGAAAAGTTAATGGATATGCATCAATTATAAACATAAATGGCATCATTACTATTTAAACGAATTTGATTTCCAGATTATGAGAAAGGCCAGAACAGTGAGGTTAATATAACAGTGCTTTGCTCATACTGAATCTCAAGGTAAACATCTCACAAGTATGTAGTGTGCCGTGTTTTGCCCTGGGGAATTCTTTGGGCCACAGATGTGTTAAGTCCTCGGTCATCTGGGAGAAGAGAGGGCACATATCCTTCTTTCACACTGCTGCCGCAGATACCCTCAAAACTACACTGATCTGGAGGTTAAAAAGTGAGAATCACATTCACAAATGAAAATGAGGTGTCTCGGTTACATTTCTCATTGCTGTAACATAATACCCAGTGCCCAAAGTTATGGAGGAAACGTTTACTTGAGTCACAGTTTGTAGAGGTTTCAGTCTATCATCAGTCCATCATTCTGTCTCCAGGGCAGGATGGCGTGGCAGAGGGTACAGAGGAGAAACAGTTCATGGTAGGCAGAAGTAACAAAGCAAACAAGCAAGCATCATGCCTCTTTCAAACCCTTAGGGCAGGTAACACTCACACCCTGAATCCTAGTGCCTTTAATTCTAGCATTGCACCATGAATCAATCCCAAGGTGTCAAGTCTAGATCCAACTACCTCTGAAAAAGCTCCAGTCTAGATCCAGCTATCTCTGAAAAAGCTCCATTAATGACTGCATGAGGCTTTGGGGAGACAACTACACACATAAGCCAAAATACAGGGCTTCGAAAGAAAGTAAAAAAACTGGGGAGTGTGCAGCTCGGTAGCACTGTGGTACAGAAATTTTAGTTTGAATATTGCCTTAGTTACTTTTTGCTCGTTGCTGAGACAAAATACTGAAGCGCAAATTGGGAAAGGAAAGATTTATTTCTTGCAGTTTTTGGAGGTTTCAGTCCACACTCAGTTGGCTCCAAGGCAGGTGGGCATGGCTGGGCCGCAGTTCATGGCAGCTGCAAACAGCAAAGAGGAAACAGGCAAAAGAGAGCAAGACACACCTTCTTCCTGCCATTACATCACATCCTGGCTCCACCCCTATGTGGGTGGAGCATTGATACCATCAATCTAAGCACTAGACAATGAACAATCACAAATGCACAATGCAAACTCACAAGGCCTGGGGCCACAGACATAAACCATGACAAATATTATACATTTTTTTCTGTGGCTTTCAAGGCAAAAGTACTCTATTGATTGACATGTGAGCATCATATTAGGAAAAACTATGCTTACATTAAGTGAAATCAATGGGAAAGAAATAGTTTCAGAAGAAAAAACAACATATGTATGCCTGTTTATTACCTATAATGTCTTAGCAACAATCAATAATCCATTGACTCACTCACATTCCATTTTCCGATTTAATAGAAGTGAGCCCAAAAAAGTTAAGCTATATGTCCAAGGTCAAATACCTACCAAGTGAAAATTTTGCCTGTGAGATGATACTTTTTCCCACAATATTTCAATATATCTCAAGGCTTTGTCTACATATTGCAGTTTATTACAGTAGTCTGCAAAATACCAGCTCTGAGAGATATTATTAGACACACACACACACTCACACTGACACTCACACTCACACATACATGGACCCAAAACCCTGTGGTTAAAGAAGATTGAAAACACATTGGATATAATGAAGTAATTTAATATCGACCGAGATATTTAATATGATAATGTACATCCTAAGTTTCCAAGAAAAATACCATGTAGTATTTCTCAAATTATTTAACTATAAAATTATCATATAACTTATTAATAGTTATTATTTTAATAACACTGTGTATGACCAATTCCCCAGACAATGTTCTCTGGGAATCCTGGGCATCATTTCCCAAAACATACATAACTAAAGAAGTTGTTTACTTTTTTAAACAAAATTTAGCAAATTTATTAAATGGAGAGGGGACCAAGAGATGAAAGGCGAAGGAGGGAACATGGGCATAAAAATAATTAAGATGTGTCATGTACATATGCCAACTACCCACAATGATTATAATCACTGTGTACTATAAACAGGTACTAATAAAAAAAACAGAGATGACACTGTTCTACAGGAAATGTGCTAAGGAACTGAGCACTGAAATACTTCCTATAAGACATGGCAGCCATTAATGCTGTTGTCAAATAGTTCAAGTTACTGCTATGACTAGGCACATGGTGGGATTCTGCCTGTTGGATTTTTGTGCATGAGAATTTAGGTCAAAGGGATGTGAGCAAAACTGATACATGTCACTTCTGGGCCAGAAACCCTAACTACCAGTATGAGACCACAGAGTTTGCTTTGCTTCTCCACGGTGATTGGCAATGTTATGACATAATCACTACCATAACAACACAAGCTTTTTTATTACAAATTGGCAGGGGCTCTGCTCATCAGAATCACAGTGACTACAGTGAGTTTATTGCTAAACAGATTTTTATTTCTTATGCTATTACCAACCAACCTGTAGTAGCTTCTTAGAACAGTATTAAAGAGGTTTCTGAGGCCCTGTTAGGGATCAGGAGGAAAGAATAGAGGGCTTCATTAGTTTTGGCTGCCAAGAGAGAGGGAAGAATATTGGCATGCATGCCAAGTATCTGCCATTCTTCAATTAAAAAGTAATAAAAATATTTTCTCAAAGACTCCCTCTCCCCCTTTCTTAATGATATAGAAGTCATTTCTGGGTCTTGCAATGTCTCTGGGTAACCATTATGAAAATTTATTATTATTGTTATTGTCCTAGAGATAGACAGAAGTGTCTGGGATTTAGATAATTCTGGTTAGGAGAATACTGAAAAGGAAAATTAACTGTCACTCAAAAGGGTCTGTCCATGATATATAAACGTGGGAATAGAAACATACCAATATGAAAATGTTATAAAAATGCTCTCAAGGATTAAGAGTTGCAGGAGTATTATAATAAAGTACATTTAGCAGCTAAAAATATTTAAGAATCATCCACAGTGTGGGATTTTTAAAATACAGATAATATGCTGCAGTATGAAAATCATTTCAAAAACTCTGTAAATAGATTTATAGTCTAGCATAAATCCTAAGAGCTTATAATTCATTGGAGCTCTTCTAGAAAACACATGCAACATAAATAGTTTAGTAATAACCTACCATGTACACACTTGCATTTCACCAGTATGTAGAAAACCAATGCCCTAAGCATATATGTCCACAGGGAGGCCACTGTTAAATGGGGTCCCCATTCCCACATGACAACTTGAGGTGGACTCTGAAAATGTATAAATTCCCAATTTTAGGTTTTCTCATTCCACTCGAGAGTCACTAAAACCTCAGGTTTCCAAAGCCAATGGAGTGACCTACACATCACACTTCAGATACCATTGGAAGGCAATGAGCAACCAAACCATAAATACCAAAGAGGGAAAATAGAGAGAAAGTAATTGGTTAAAAAGGAAAAGGAAGACGGTAGTGTATTTAGGAAACAACATTCCTGGGAGAGAAATACTTCCTTAGAGACAAGATAGATTAGCATCCTTAGTGTCATATATATTGGGTAATAGAGGATAGACCATCAATAACTATTTGGTTAAAGAATAAGTGGCACACAGCTTTATTTATTATTTAATCTTGGAAAAATAATTCTTTATAATTTCTTCAAAATTTCCAGAAATTGTGGTTTTTTTAAGAGATCAGTAAACCAATTCAGATTTGACATGACCTGAATATAAATAAGAAACATGTATGTTATGGCTTGTATCTAGATGTCCCCCCAAAGCCTCATGTAGTCATGGATGGGGAATTTTTTGAAAGTGGCTGGATCAGGGTGTGCAAGTGTGGGTGAAGAGTGTGATGCAGGGATTAAGAGTATGGATAATGGAATCACCCACCTGGAGTGTAGGTGGAGACAACCAATAGGCCTACAGCATGGACAGAACAGAAAGGGAAAGAGGGAAGACAGGCTTGCTGCTTTGATGATTTCCACCTGACATGCCATGAATTGTTTCTTCTCTGTGATGCCCCTATGCTATGCTGCTCTGCCTTGGAGCCAACCAACTATGGGCTGAAATTTCTACAAACTGTGAGCAGAAATAAATCTTTCCTCCTTTAACTTTTGGTGTCAGGCATTTTGTCTCAATAATGAGAAAAAAGTAACCAAGACAGGTATTTGAAAGCACTCAATGGAAGACCTTTTGAATTAATTATTGACAAAGATCTATATATGTTTGAAAACATTTTTATGTTTTTCATATATTCATTGAACAGGTATCAATTAAGAGCCTGCTAGTGGTAGGTACTATGTAAGACAATGAGGATAGTACAACCAGGTGTATGAATCCCGTCACTTCAAAAGGTTCACAACCTAGCAGATGGCTAGAAAATGGTAAGTAACACATCAAAATATAGTAACTCTTGTGAAAGAGACAACGGTTGACATGAAAAAGCTAAGATGCAGTAATACAAGAGAAGAGTATTCCAAGTGAAACTTCAAGCCAAGAATAAGTTTGGTCCATTTAGAGAGAACACCAGAAAAAGCACAGGTCCTCTATAACCTTGGTCAGCTGTTTGGATTTATTCTACATGCATATGAAAGCCACCAAAGCACTTCATATAGGGGGAATGGAAGCCTATGACAAAGTTTGAGTTCTGTTTTAGAAATATCCCTCTAAATAAGTGTAGAAAGATTCAGGCAAAGCAAGATAAAATCTGTAGGACATTGAAGACTCTGCTGAAGACTAGGTGACATACCCAAAGCAGGATTGAACTATGGTGGTGGCAGTTCAGTCGCAGAGAATTTCAAGTGTACTTTTGAGAGCAGAGGAATAAGGCTTATCAATGGGGCAAAAAAGAGAAGAGGCTCAAACAGAACGCAGGGCTTTGGCTTGAAAAGGCAGATGGAGAAACATATAATTTAAGAGATAAGGAGGGGATAGATTCATGTAGCTCACCATTAGCAGACCTTTCCTTTTTGAATTCACAAATTTCTGTGGAAATAACTAAAACTCATTTTTCTAATTTAGGTGTATAGGTCTATAGAGGGACTCAGGGATTCTATGAAATTTCTAAATATGTTTGCAAAATGATGTGCATGTTTTCACATGCACACCTGTTTTCCTACTGTGTAGAGTTTCCAAAAACAATTCTTAAGTAATACCCAGTCCCAACCAAGACTAACCAGTTAGCAACCTCTCCTCCAGTTTCAGGCTGGCTGTGGCTCAGTGGTAGAGCATGTGTTTAGTGTATAGAAAGCCCTGGACTCAATCTCCAATAGAGAGAGAGAAAAAAAAATCACCATTTATTTGAAAAATTGTCCTTCAAAAGAATGATTAAAACATGCTCAGAGTTTTGTTCATTTTGACTTAGAATCTAATAGATCTACTAATGAAGTGAAAAAAGTTTACTCTGCATCTGAACAGTGTGCTGTAATTCCTGGGGATTAACCTTCCACAAAAGACAAACCAAAGAGTTTTTAAAGGCATTAACAGCAAAGTCATTTTCATCTGATTCAGCAGTGGACAATTTGAGACATGGCTCTTCCAACAAAAGACAGCTGGACACATAAATATGTTTGTGTGATCCATTCAAAATCACAGCATAGGCGAGATCATTTACAACAATAAAATGCATAAATTCTACCAGAAAAAAACTCTCAACTGGGAGTGATTTCTAAATGTTTCCAAAACAGGAAGCAAAAGACAGCCAGTGTCACTGTGGTAACTGCCAGTATAGAATAAGTTAATCAGTCAGTGTCTAAAAACAAAGAAGAGATTCATCAAAAGAAAAAAGAAAAGCAGTTAGCAGTACTGCTAGGGTGTCAAGAAAGCAGACTTTTTCAAGCTAGTGATATCTATGCAAATATAGCTCAGCCTTTGTTAGAAAATATCTAAGGCCTGTAAAAGAGTGGGAGGGGGATCTTTCCATATGTTTAAATTTTTTTTCCTAGCAAAATGTCAGTGACAGAGAGGTTTTGATGTCCTTAAAAACAACAAGAGTAAACTCAGTGTAGTGGTGCGCACCTGTAACCCCAGCACTCTGAGAACCTGAGGAAAGAAGAAAAAATATCTCAAGTCTGAATCCAGCCTAGGCAATTTAGACTTAGCAAGATAGTACTTAGACAGAGAGATACAAAGACAGAGACAGAGAGACACAGAGACATAGGGAGACAGAGAGGAAATGAAAAGAAAAGAAAAACAGTGTCTCAGTGAAATGGTCCTAGATTCAATCCTCAGTACTGAAAAGCAAAACAAACAACAAAGCAAAAACAACACAACACAGTAACAGTAAAAGAAATATGTTCACTAATTTATTATTTCCATTGAGAAATTTATTCTTCTAAACTGTGCTTTTTTGTTCAAATCCCCATAGCCTAGGGTCCCCTTCCAAAAGTTGGATTAATACCTGTACCTATTACATTATGATGTATAAAAGTTTTCCCGCAAATCATGTCATAAAATAAAAGTTAAAAAATTGGTTGCTTGAAAGAGACAGTGGAAATGAATTCCACTAAAAGCTTCCTCCTGCTCAGTGATAGCCTCTTGGTAAGGCATTATGCTAACACATAATCTAAACACTGTCTCACTGACATCAGTGAAATAATTTAGACCCTGGGATTCTATTCACTACATATAGAAATCTTCACACTGACTTCCTCATTCTACTCATCCACGCACCTCCATTTCTTTCTTTGATCCCTGTCTGTGTTTACCTCCCCAGTATAGCCTAAGCACCACTGGCAGCAAAGCCTAGGAATTAGTAATCTTTCTAGTATCTCCGTTTGCTCTCCAATTCTAACTGTATGAATATTTAAAATATAGTTATAAAAGAGCCAACATGCATATTTTGACACATTTGAATTTCATTTTGTATATAAGTAAAATAAAATATGTAAGCATATGTAAAGAAAGAGAAAGCCGAAAGCAAACATTTTCTGGCAATTTCATACTGTCATTTCTCTTGAAGTCTCTTAGAAGTTACCCTCATTTTCTTAATATGCTGAGCTACTGAAAACTTACCTTTGCTGACCAACAGTGTTCTGGCATGGGGAATCCAACAGTGGCCCCACTACCTTGTTATCAATGCCCCCATCATTTCTATCACCTTTGTTATCACTATTGAAAAGAAAGTAGAAATATCTTAAATCACTATTTTTTGCTAAAGTAAATGTTAAAAGATTATTAACAATGGCTAAGAAGTCTTCCTCAGATAGTATACCACAGAGTAGAGAAATTTCAATAGCATAAATGCTTTTAGATGGGAAAAATAAGGATTCTCCCTGAAAAGATAATCTTCAAAATCTCATCTCATTCTATTTGGTTTATGGAAGAAAAAAAAAAAAAAAGAAGAACTCAAATTGGGAGGGTCAGTGTTTTCGATTCTGAGTTTTTGATAGGTCCACATGTAGCTATTGACAGTTGAAATGTGGCTGGTGTGACCAAATAACTGAATTTTAATTGCATTTCATTTTAATTAACTTTAAGCTTTAAATTCCACAAGCTCAGAACCACTTGTTACAGTACGGAACAGTGTGCTAATAATGTCTACCAAAAAGTGGTGAGGTCTGGGGCAAAGAGGGCCACACATACCGGAGACATCAGCTACTACTTAGCAATGTGTTAATATGTTTGTTCCCAGAGCAACTGCGGAAATTGGCATTTCTAGGTGTAACCCTCTTATATCTACCTTGTGGCAACTAGAAGCAGTCCTTGCTTGCAACAGCTCCAAATGCATACATTTCAGTTACCACAATTCAATTCAATCACTTTAGTTCCCCAACAGCACTGCTTAAATGTGCTATATTAACACTGAATAAGTGCATGAAGTCAAACTCCACTACTAGCTCTTCTGAAAATTAGATAGATAGCAGATACGTGTGAGGAACCAATTACATGACTTCTTTCAACACCCACCAGGGATTGGTCACTGAGTATCTGGTACCTGGTACTCGATCATGCAGAGACAGTGAAACACTCAGTTACAAGCCTACCTATGACAAATGTACGTGATGTTTCACTGGAAAGGATAATCAAAAGAGGGGATCAAGAAAACAACATAACAGTACAACAAAGAAACAAAACTGGCCATGGTGTACATGAACTTCAAACTGAACATAAACGAAGAAACAGCTCACTACAGGACTGCTGGTCAGGTGGTAAGAGAAACTTAATGAGGCCAAAGATACCACGTGTGTGGACAGAAACAAACCAAGTGGTTATGATGAAAAGGGGAAATGTAGCAGAGGAAGTGCACACACAAAAATACCAGTTTTAAAGCTTTCATATTTCTCAATGTTGAAAGCACAAAAAATAAAATGTTGGAAGGAGACCCAAACTTAACACAAGTGTGACAATATGACAGTTAGCCAAGGCAAAGGAAAGACGCTTGGTCTGCATCATTGATTGTAAAAGAAAAAGAAGGTAAACACTGTTCCGACTACTCTTTTTTTTTTTTTTTTTTAATTTAAGAGGAAAAAGAGAAAAACACAAAACAAACCAAAGCGGCGTAAGGGTACACGCAATACAGAACTACAAAACAAAACAAAAAACCATAACAGTAAGAAATTACCTGCTAGTAGATTACACACTATCTTCTTGAAAATAGTTCCTCAAATCACAGTATCAAAGAACACAAGGTGGACATTCAAACAGGGAGACTGCAAACAGCTGTGTTCAATGTTCCAAAAACATTGATAAAGGTTCAGACTACTCTTGATAAGTGTTTTCAAGAAAAACACTTCAGCTCTCAACGTTTCTGATGTTTTATCTTGCAAAGCACTGCGTAAGTATTAGTTTCAGAATTTTTCATGCTCTTACACTCTTATAAGTGATAGAGAACTCTTTTTCTTTAAAAAATACACACATTTAAAGTTAATCTATTTTAGTTCTAAGTAAAGCAATTGCAAAACTACAAACTGAACATCAGGGTCATGTGAACCATCATGATAAAATAAAATAGGCATTGACAATAACTACATCTAAAGACAGTTCAGTGTGATATATTATACTCCAAGTATGGTAAAGAAAGAGATTACTTAAAAATACTGCTGGTGTTCACTCAGAATTAAAGAACTTTGGGGAAAATGAAATAACATTACCGGTGGAGTATAAAAGATTACAAGGATTTACATTTTCCATTACCCCTAGATAGATTCAAAAATCAACACAAACTCTGTGTTATTCAAAATGTTGTAGCTAAAAGAAATGCAACTTTACATTAAGAGCTAGGGGGAAGTCAAGTCTTGGTGGAGGTAAACGCAAGTGACAGTTTTTAATTTGCACTTTTGTAAAGCTCATTTATAACTGGTAAACCAGGAACCAAATAAAGACAAGGAAGTTCTCTGCTTCTTTTGGCTCTCATGTGAAAAGCAAAAGTCATTTTTTGGAAGATGTCCAAAGAAATAAAGCAACTTTTTTGTATATAGTCAAATAATTAAATGAATAAGTATTAACCTACATTTTTATCACTGTGTCATTGCTATACTTTACATATTTTTAATTTGGGCAGCAAAATCCCCAATTTTTTATCTAAAATCCACCAATCACTTTTAAAAATAAAAAGTATAGCTACCAAAAAAAAAAAATTCTCCTGTTTACTCTCTAGCTAAGAAACAAACAGAACAGAACAAAAAGAAACAACTTTTTGTTTTCACAAAAATTTCAAAAGTTATGAAGCAGTCATATTTGCCCTTATTATTACATTAATGCTACATTATTTTAACTTCAACAGTAACTTCTATAAAGGAAATGACTGAAGAAGACAATGAATGATTACATTTTTAAAGGTGGATTAAGAAAGCACACATTGCTAAGAAAAATAAATGCTTCTCAAAGTGAAGGGAAATATTCTAAATTATTTTAAGGGAATGCATAACAATGTGTCTTTTATCAGAATACATATTTTTTTTTAAATTTACACATCCACTCTCTGCCCTAGTCCCCCTTGTTAACCACATCTGCCATCATTCAACTTCTGATTCTTCCCCAAATTCAAAATGACAGTGAAAAATACACATTTGGAATCATTTCAGGACATTAAAGCCCATGACAGTGTAACCAAGATTCTCATGCAAGAGGACTTCAAAAAGTGCCATGCATGCAGGAAGAAGCACCTTCCAAGTGAGAGTGATGTTTGTAGAGGGGTTAATGGCAGTATGTCTTTTACTGTAATGATTTTTTAATTGTTCACAGCATTTTGGATCATGACTTAATTTAGTCCCCAGCTGCACAAGATAAAGGACTGCCTCCACTTAAAATCTGTTAAAAATATTAGGTAGAAAAATAAAATACATATCTAAGGTACCAGAAATTTAAAAAGTGCCAAGAACTGGTGTCATATTTGAAGTACATCTGAGTAACAACAGAACAATAGGCTGAAGAGAACCAAGGACTATAAGTGACTCAAGCAGATGTATTTATACAGTACTCTCCTCAGGAAGGTTATACCTACTGTCATATGCTCTGAACTGTCCTAATACCTTACCCAAAAAAATAAAAAGTCAACATTCTATGCGTTTTTACCCTATATAGTTTATTTCGGTATTGAATATTGTTTATATTCAATTATTATATTGTTTATAGGGTAGTTTATATACCTTATATAGTTTATTTCGGTATTGAATATTGCCAAACTTCCTGACCTCTGAAAGTATTGTCAAATCTGACTGCTAAGCACTAATAATGCCTTGTTAAGTATTTTCTTGTACAATGTGTAACGAGGGAATAATGTCATGCAAAAGTCTTTATGCAATTATATAATTGCATAAAGGCAATTTCATCCATGCCCCATATTCCAAATGGATGATAAATAACAAGCAAAAGTCTTGCCTTGTGCTTGGGGACAAGACGGGATGCAGATATAACTGTGTCTTTCCCCTCACAATGTTGTCCCCTAGACCCTTTCTGTAGGATAGCTTGTGGCCCCAGTGTGAAGCTCTTTAAAAACAGAGGCTGCCTTTCATTCATTCCTGAATCCAAAGACCTGCACCTGAGCCCAGGGGAGGCCTCATTTCAGACGAGACTTGTTGACCTGGCAGATTTGTCAATGAAATCTAAAGCAATGCCTGTGCTACTAGCCCTCCTGCATTTGTCTACTTCATTGTCTTAATGGGTTCCAGAATTGTAGCAGTCATTTATGCTTCTTTATTTTTTATTTAGAATGCAAACTGAAATGAGAGCGCGAATCAAGACTCTCTGATTCTTAACCACATCCTAGTACCTGGTTACAGCATCTTGGACACAGAGCCCTTGCTGAGCACTGAATGGGTGAGTGAATGGGCAGGTGGTTGGATGGTTTGAATAAATATCTACATGAGTAAATTACTATTTGGATGAATTACTGTTGAAGTGAATTAGGTTGATTAATAAATGAATACTCAGCAGCAGCATGTGTGAAAACAGCCTGGGAATTTCTGTTGAGACTAAACTCAAGATGTATCAACAGAGAAATGTTTCCCCAAAACACATTTTACCTCCGACTGTGAATGCACGCTTGACCCCGAGTGGAGGGGAGGACTCCCTTACTTGGGTCTTGTTGGTGGGATCACTCATGGAGTCTCTTCAGTTTGAGTAGCCACCAGGGACAACACGCAGTACATTCACAAGAGGAATTGATATGTCTAAGGAAAATCAAATAATGTAAATGAGGAAAGAACGATCAACCTTCCAGTGACAATACCGGAAAGGCTGCCATCCTAACCAAGTAGGATAATGCAGGCTAACCAACTAGTAAATGGTAGGGCAGAATTTTAGTCCAGTGGGGTGTCCCAGATCTGGACTCAAATTGGGTTTCTATCATTTTCTTTTTTTAGCTATTTAACTTTGGAAAAATGAGCTCTTTGATGATCAGTTTTTCACCTGCAAAATGGTTATTATTTCTTCTAATTGAACTGTGTTTCAGGATAACTAAATAGCACTAGTGATGAAAAGTTATTGAAAGAATCCCAGCTCTACAAGAGAAAGGGATAACAGATTTACAAGAACAAAAAGAAAACAAAACCACGACAACGAAATCCCCACTATTTTTAATCCCTAATGAAATAATAGATTCAAGCAAATTATTAATGCATAACTTAGGGCTCATATTAGGAGTTTTCAGTCTAGAGGTGTCACAGACTCTTAGTGGAAGGTGCTGAATGGAAAAAAGAAAATAAATGAACAGGAATGGGAAAGACATACATTTATTTTTACTAATTCCCAATTGAAATTCACAAATGTAGGCAATAAACCACAGAATTAGTAATGACAGCGAGTATAAGTCTCTCAAAGTATAAATCACAGATATTTTTAAAAAATATTAAATAACTTCATATATGTTGCAAATATCTTGAAATATTTATTCCACATTTACTTATTATTGTAACAAAATTATTGCAGTCTTTCTAATCTACACTAGTTCTAATGTAATTTTTAATAAAGAAATGCATACTTTCTGCGTCAAAAATTAGTTTTTTAATACTAGCATAGCTGTTATTCAATATCTTTTGTGTTTTGTGTGTTTCCGTATACTTAATTTTGTGTTTCCATATACTTAATTTTCCTCACTAAAAAACAGTTGTGAGAGAGAAAGTATACAGATTTCTGAAACTGCTGTAGAGGGCTTGACTGACAAGCAAACTTAAAAACTCCTGCTTTTAGTTTGAGGGAGAACTTTGCTATGGAGGGCCAGGCTGTCTCTAGCTAAAGCCATTAGGTAATTTCAGGATCACAGAGTGGGACATTCCCACATGGTGCATCTTTGCTCAGTGTGGTGTGAGGCGCACAGCACTGCCTACATGCTGGTATGTGGAAATAGTCGATCTTCAGCCCACAGGTGTCGGAATGTAACTGTCTGCCACAATGCAGACGCTATTTTTACTCTCCAACACTGTAGCTGCTAGCTGCATTTGACAGGTGGATACAGCAAATTCACAACCGAATTTCAGATTTTGCTCATTTTAAATTACACAGCCAGACACAGTTTACTTCTGCCCAATTTAGAGCTCATTTTCTTTCACCACACAAAGATAGAGAAACAATCTAACAATACTGAGGGAAAGCAAACAGATCCACACTGTACAAATTTGTCTACAGTCCAACTAAATTGGTAAAAAATACATAGGGGCATTTTTAATTTAACATGTAAACAATAATTAAAAAATAAAAAGTAAATACAGCATAATAAAAACACATTTCTCAATTGTATTGGATACACATAAATTTTAAGAGAAGAAGCAAAAAAAGGAAAGTGATTGATATTTAAGTACTTAATTATTGTTTATATTTTTAATTAGGATGTATAAAATAAAGTTATATTGATGGTCTTGTAAGAGCTACACAATTTTCTTAAATGTATATCTATACCTGAAACCGTTCACCTATTTTAAAGATTTGGAATTCTGTTTGTTATCTTTAAGAGTGCCTCAAATTTAAAGGCTACCTTCTTGAACATTTAAAGTATATTATAATAGTGTGGTAGTTAATAAAACATTTTTTCTTTTAAAGAATACATGGTAATTTTGGATTCTATATAAAAGGAAGACTTATTTTTTAACTATGTTAACTATTTTTATATACATATATATATATATACACATACATGTTTTTTCTTTCAGCTTCTCACACTAATGAAACAATACAATATTTAAACATACATGTCTTATTTATTTCATTAATGAGTTTGTTCTCAAGTTGCATCCATTTAACTATAAAAGTAAAAGGAAGACTTTCCAAAGAGTGTTCTGGAAAGATGAAACTACACTGTCTTGTGAGGCAGTTGCCTATTGAATATTTATAATACAATAATGGCTGCAGCTTATGCTTACTGAACACTGACAATGAGCCAAACGTGGTCTGAAGCATTGACACCCCTCCTCTAAGCTTCCTACCAGCGTCCCAAGGTCAGTAGTGTTACTGGCCCCACTGGAAAGGTGCCAGCAGAATGGTCACTGGGTGTGGCTGGTGCAGAAGAGGGATGAGGTATAAGGTTCTTTTAGTTGCCCTTTACCACCTGCAGCCCTAAACTCTAAGGATTCAAGACACATGTCACTGTAATTGTGCAGTCGATCAGCCTGCTACCTCAAAGCCAGTGAGCAAAAAGCAAGTCTTTAGACATCGCCTTTCTCTTCCAAGTACAAGACTAAAATGTTGCAAGAATTAAATTATCTGTCCACAAGGGGATGACATGATCAAGAAAATGCTACATTTCAATGGCTCCATTTATCCATTTTCAAATTTCTCATAAATTAGAGGGAAACATCTTCCCCAGGCTGCCATTTGACCAAGAAATGTCCATGGTATATCTTTGTCAACATGTTTCAGGATATAAATCCAAATTATAAAAACTAAAGTTGGTATAAAGGCTGTCGTCATATATTATATCATTTGGAAAGAAATATTGGTGACCTTATCCAGTATGACTGTTATAACAGTAATAAAATTGAATCTTGGAAGATTACACTTCTGGTCAAAGTAGTAAAATGTGACCTTCTTCTATTCAACATTGACATTTATTATATTAATTCATATGTAAAAAAACTGCATTAAAATGATATTAAAGCCCTGGTTAGAAATGAGAATGTTCAAGAACCTCAGAAATTAGATTTAACTTTACCAGCCACTCATAGAATTGAGCCTGTTTGATGCAAATCAAACTAAATTTCTTCCACCAATCTCTTATTCAATTCTAATTTTATTATTATTGCCTTCTCATTCATATAAGATGGGTTTTTTTCCCAGTGCCTCTTCAAACATTTTCTAAAGTTTAACACACTTTCATCATGCCCTGGAGAAAAAGGTAACACCAAGCAATAAACATAGAAACCTGACTCAGAAGATCACTTTAGTTGCTCCCAGAAGGGAAGTTCTCTGCAAACACATGTTGCTTAGCACTGAGTTCTCCTCAAGTACTGCACTAGGCCCCAAAAGTACACCTACCTATGCCTGGGGGAGAGGAAGCTGAGATAGATAGTGCCACTGATTTCACAGAATGGTTGTTTTGGGGAGAAAAGTCATTGTTTTGGATATTTCATTGTCAATGTATTTTTACTATTTTTATTACTTTGTTGCTAGATGGTAAAGTACATTTTAATTGGCCAAAATTTTATAGAGAAGTCCTTCCTTTAAATACAAATTTTGGAAACTTTCTACTTGGGAATGAAGTATGAGATGGTAAAGTTAATTAAGGGCAAGACCTTGTTGTGACTTAAAGGATTGTTTCCTCCTAATTATGAGTCTAAAATTCTAGGCTTGCCTTAGTAGTTCCCAGATCTCTTTCTAACCATGTCTGTTGCTTTTCTCACTAATATTCTCAGGCTTCAACTGAAATTATTTTGCTAATTATTTCCTCATGTACTTCAGTTAATATTTATATTTTGCTTTGAGTATCTTTTTAAATTTATAATGTTAGATGAACCTAAGTGTGGGTAGAGTAACAGGTAATCCCTAAATTTCAGAATCTTGTACCAGAAAATGTTTATTTCTTGACTAGTCCGTAGTTGACCCTTAGGTCAGCTCTGCCCTCCTTGGTTATTCAGACATCCAAGCTGAAGGTTCAACTATCAGCCCAAGCACTATTAAGAGCCAGGTCTCAACGGTGAGGGAAAGAAAACTTTAGTAGGGTCTTGTCTTAGAAATCCTAACTGAAACAATTCATGGCAATGCCCAGGCATGTGGCTCTACCAAACCCTAAATCCTGTGATTCTATCATAGGCCTGAAAGGAAAAAGAACTGAAAATATTTGGCTAAATCCATCAATGACTCCTTGTCTCTATGGTTCCTTACTGTTATCATTCTTCCCTAAATGAGACTGTACTTTGTGCTCAGTTCCTTTTGTTAAATGAAACTAGTCACGTGGTTAAGAGACAGAGCAAGTTATTTTATCTCTTATGGCCCTTGCAACTCTGTGAGAACAGTGCCTCCCTTGGGATTCTGTATTTCCCATACTGCTTTGCTGGGTGAATATTGCTTGATTGATTGAACACGGCTGTCTGCATAATGGGAATTTCATCTCCAAAGATGATAAATACCCTAGAGACCAGTAATATTTGATAAGGAATAAACTTTTTTTAGTTTTTCCTCTTATTTATATCATAGATACTTAAAACAACATTAAAACGATCATAAAGACAAAATAAAAATGAGCTCATAATTCTACTTTCCTAAGCCAACCAATATTTTCATTTCTTTTCCATTCAGTCCTTGTTTGAAAGGCATCTTTATCCTTTCTATAGTTGTATCCAGAGAACACACCAAAATTGGGAGAAGGCTGAGCAGAAGACACGTAACTC